TGACGGCCTGTTTTTGAGAGATTTTTTAGGATTTCTTTTCTACGACCAGTAAATAGATAGAGCTTTATGTTTATTACCATTTATTAACATATGTTTCGACAGTATAAATATTAATTTTACAAATATTGTGTAGAATATGAGTTACAGCGTTCTAAACAGCCCCGCCTCGAAAAAATGTGCTCGCACTTCCCCTACGATTCCGGCTGATTGGCTTATCTGATACAAAATAAATTAACTGCTGGACTATTATCATATACCAATTTATGGTATATGCATTTTTTCTTTGGTTTTTTGCTTAAAAAAATCGAAATTCGGTTAAGCTGTTTTTGAGATACGATGGAGGAAAGTTCGAAAAGCACAGTTTTGAGAATATCCCGTTTAAAGTTTCAAATCTGCCAACTCAGCGCTCCGAACAACTCCTTCTTCTAACTGATATATCTTTAAAACGACTTCGAATTTTTAAAAATCACTTTACTACCGTATTTTAAACATGTATGAAAAAAAATTCGATCATAACCGATCGATGGAATAATCATTAATATTAAGAAAAACTCAACTGAAAGTCATAGTTTCGCCCTCATGTTGCAAGATCGGTTAAAAACAATTTGGAGCCCAGAATATGCCCCTTCTGAATACCATTGGTTCCGGTCGATGCAAAGCAGCCTCACTGGTATACGGTTCACATCAGTAGATGGTATCAAAAATTGGATTGATTCATTATTACTTTGGGAAGTTCTTGGTGGAGTCCACAAATTGCACTATCACAATACAGCTTAAGCCCCAGACTACAACGGGTAATACTATAAACAAGCGGCCGCTGCTTAATCGGGTTTACATTTGCTAAAGGAGACTCAGTGGTATCTATGTCTTCATCACAGTTCTTTTCTATATAATTTATACCTCCACACCTTCCATAATATGTACATGTCAGTCTATTTGACCTAATATGTTGGACTATCTGTCGGGAGACTTGAGAAAGAAAACGGTTAGTTAAGTACCATTCATATTCCATCTGGAGATGTAGTATGTAGGAACGAGATATAGACTTTAGTTTTAGTACTTTGCCTGCCGATACCAAACAATTTCTTCACATGCAATGTGTCATCGAATTATAGTTCTTGTGGATATTTCGAAGTTTTTGGTCTGTTTTGGTTTTAGTAAAAGGATTGTCCTTACGTAAAAATCCAAGCAGAAAGTACAAGTATTATAATAGATAGTAATTGGAGTCCTATAGAAAGGAATTCGAGTTGCTGAAACTATACAGGTTGGATGAAAAGTTTCTGCTCTCGAAATGAAAAAACACTGTTTGTGGTACGAAATATATTTATGCCCTGAACAGGGTATATGAGTAATCCAAGAAGTTTGTAACACCCAGAGGGACACGTCGGAGACCCTATAATATATACATAAATGATTAGCATGATGATCTGAGTTGATTTGGCCATTTCCGTCTGTCTGTCCGTCTGTCTGTCCGTCTGTATATACGCAAACTAGTCTTTTAGTTTGTAAGCTATCGATCTTTAATTTTGCACCTGTTCTTTCCTCACTAAGAAGCTTATTTGTCAGAAGGGCTGATATCGGACCACTATAGCATATAGCTGCTATACAAACTGATCAATTATATTAATTGAACGACCGGAATAAAGGGCTTGCATGGAAAACTCTTGCATTTGACGGTGTATCTTCACGAAATTCGGCATGGATTATTATTGAGGGCAATAATGCAATCTCCGAAGAAGTTGTATAGATCGGATAACTTAAGCATATAGCTGCCATATTAATTGAACGATCGGAATAAAGTGCTTACAGGGAGAACTTTTTATTTGACGGTGTATCTTCACGAAATTAGATCGGAATCTATTTCCTTTGCTTTAATCCTTTTAAAACAAAGTATCTAATCACTGCGCGATATTAAATTTTTTCGATATTAAAAAATACTCTGACACGTCAATTTCAAATGGCTTGTAAACAAAGAATTAATTGACAGAATGATTTGTAACTTTGCACGTGTTCTCACGACAGATGTACCAACTTGAGAAAAGTAAAATTAGTACTGCTATTTATTGGTGGGAAGAGAAACTTTTCAACCAACCTGTATAAAATCGAATCTAGCACCCTTCCTTATTTATAAAGACTTAGCTAAACTCAATTACCTAGCCAGAAGAAACCCGAACCAATAAAAGAAAAACTAGTTTTTAGTTTTTTCGAAATAATATTTGTTAGTCCTAAGTCGAATTTTTTATTGAAACCTAGTTCTACCTGGTGGTATGGTAGATAAAAATGCAACAGAGGATGCTGCAGTAGGTGAAGGTGTAGCAATGGATGAATTGAGATGCGGACGTGGACAAGATCCATACCAAAGGTCGAAGGGAACGAATGATGCTGTTCGTCTAGCAGATGGAGGACGTCTGCGAAATGGTGGACGTTTACCAAATCGAAGACGTCCACCAAATCGAGGACGTCCACCAAATCGAGGACGTCCACCAAATCGAGGACGTCCACCAAATCGAGAACGTCTACCAAGTAGACGATCACCAAATATTCGAATGACGCGTATTTTTCCTAACACATCAGGTTCACCAAATTCTAGAAGCTCGTCAACACTTCTAATAACACCTAATCTTCTTTCACCTAATCTTTCAGATCCCTCAAGGAAGGCTTGTTGCACTGTAATTTTATTAAAATAAAACTTTATACTATATGTACTTTCGCACAAGCAGGAAACAACTGGCAAAACAAACCATTAACCAGGACAGCTGCGAAAACGATAAGTACAATTATTGTAAAGGATTTTATCATCTTCACGAACTTTGGTAACTTGCTAACACCACAATACCTTTTCAGCTCATAAATAGTGCATTCTGGCGATATCGAAAACGAAATGGCAAATACTTGTTTTAAATGGAAAACTTTCACCAATTGTGAATACAAAATATATGTAAGTAGATATCAGCGAAACTCAATGGTACCGCAACATATGGTAAACACACGAGCAGAAGGGAACTCCTAGGCGATTGGCTAAAAATCAATCATCAGTCTACAGACACTTTTTTTTTTGTAAACACACGTTCTTTAAAGAAATTTCTGTTCTTTCACTATTTCCATTCTAATTTGTTGGCTTGAACTAATAAAATATTGTTACTTAGAATTTCATATCTTCCATAGAAAAGAATTTGAAATTACGCATTTCTAAAAATTTCGTTAGACGTACAATACCGCCATGGAATCTCTGACAAACCCTATTGTTAACAAGTAAGGAAGGGCTAAGTTCGGATGTAACCGAACATTTTATACTCTCGCAAAGTCAAATAGTATACTCGTTTGAGATTTCTTTGTGGATTGACTGATATTTTCGGAAGAAGGTCAACTATAGGCACTGGGGTCCACATATTTAGTACTTAGGGGCTTAAAAAGTTTTGGTTCGATTTAGACAATTTTTGGCCACAAGGTGGCATACTTTAATCGCATTATTCACGCAAAGTTTTATACCGATACAGTCATTGTTGCCTGATTTGCATAGTGGAAAGTGAAAGAATCAGATGGAATTTAAAATGGTGTTATATGGGAAGTAGGCGTGGTGTAGTCCGATTTCGCCCATTTTCGCACTATGACATAGAAACATGAAAAGAACTTTATGCACCGAATTTGGTTGAAATCGGTTAAGCAGATGTCAAGATATGTGTTTTCACTTTGAACGCGGTTCCTATAAAGTCATCTCATACCATCCCAGAGATAAAATTTAATGTCTCTGGCGTGTTTAGTGCTTGATTTATCGCGCTTTTAGTAGTTTTTAACAGTACCGTTATATGGGGAGTGGGCGGAGTTGCCACCCGATTTCAATTATTTTCACACCGTCAATAGAAGTGCTAAAAACATTTGCTTCCAGTGAATTTTGTTATTATAGCATTAGCGGTTTAGGAGATATTCACATTAAACCTATTAGAGGCGGGACCACGCCAATTAAAAAAAAAATTTAACTGCAGATGCCCCTCTCTAATGTGATCCTGTGTACCAAATAACAGTCTTGTATCTTATTGCGGAGCTTTTTTATGGCAATTTATTTGTTTTTGATTAATGGCGTTTTGTGGGCGTGGCAGTGGTCCGATTACGCCTATCTGCAATACCAACCGTCTCACGGTACCAAGAAACATGTCTACCAAGTTTCATAAAGACGGACGGACGGACGGACGGACGGACAGACGGACAGACAGTCACCCGGATTTCAACTCGTCTCTTCATCCTGATCATTTATATATACATAACCCTATATCTAACTCGATTAGTTTTAGGTGATACAAACAACCGTTAGGTGAACAAAACTATTATACTCTGTAGCAACAGGTTGCGAGAGTATAAGAAAGCTATTGATATTTCACCTTCTATTATTCTCCTTCCGTGAACAATTTCTTCGAAGATTGTAGCGCTGCCTCATATATCAGTCTGTGCCATGTCAAATAAAAAAGTTTCAATACAAAGACTTAAGTTCGATCGGTCAGTTTGTATGACAGCTATATGTTAGAGTTGTCCGATCTGAACAATTTCTTCGGAGATCGCAGCGACGCCTTGGATAATGATTTGTGCCAAATCATTCATTGTTCGTGAAAATATCTCGTCAAATGGAAAAGTTTTCCCTAGAAGTATTTTATTCCGATTGTTCGGTTTTTATGGCAGCTATATGCTATATTGGTTCGATATCGGTGGTTCCAACCAATGTGCATCAATCTTGGTGAGAAAAGGACGTGTGGAAAATTTCAGGTCTATATCTCAAAAACTTAGAAACTAGTTTGCGTATATACAGACAGACGGACAGGCAGACTGATATGCCTTAATCGACTCAGCTCGTCATGCTTATCATTTATATATGTATATACTTTGTAGGGTCTCCGACGTTTTCTTCTGACTGTTAACAGTTTAGTGGTGAAAAGGGTATATTCAAGCTGTAATTAATATTAAAAAAAATAGTTTTGGGGCTCACAATTTTTGTTTTAAAGAGAACAAGATACGAGTATACCATTTATTGAAACCCTTTAATTTTTAATTTATAAACCTTCAAATCAACTGATTATAGTTATTTAAGTAACTAAGCAGTCGCTGGTACAGCAGTTGATGGTGCGGCAGTTGATGGTGCGGCAGTCGCTGGTGCAGCAGTTGATGGTGCAGCAGTCGCTGGTGCAGCAGTTGATGGTGCAGCAGTCGATAGTGCGTCAGTTGATGGTGCGGCAGTCGATGGTGCGTCAGTCGATGGTGCGGCAGTCGAAGGTGCAGCTGTTGAACCTGGAAGGCATGGACGGTGATGAATGGGGAAAACTGGTGGTTTTGGGAAGCCAAATGGTGGTGGTTTTGGGAAGCCAAATGCTGGTGGTTTTGGGAAGCCAAATGCTGGTGGTTTTGGGAAGCCAAATGCTGGTGGTTTTGGGAAGCCAAATACAGGTGGTTTTGGGAAGCCAAATGCTGATGGTTTCGGTATGCCAAATCCTGGTGGTTTTGGTATGGCAAATCCTCTAAATATTTTAAAGCCACCTAGGCTTATTCTTGGTCCAAGACGTTCTCGAGGTCCGAATCCTAGAATTTGTATATATTAAAACAGTCAGAAGGTTTATCAACTGTTTACTAGCAATACCTACCTTCAACCAGGACAACCGCGAAAGCGATAACGAATAATACCGTAAAGAATTTCATCTTTTCAACCAAATGAACTTTGCCAAACTGCTGACTTTCCAGTGCTTTCTTGATTCTTATATAGCATAATTTACCTTCACCAAAGTTCAACAAACAATTTTTTTCAAAATATTTATATATTCATTTTATATTCTAATTTCAAACCAACTGTGAATACAATTTCCTTTATAAGTAAATATAAACAAATAATTGTGAAAAACCGCCTAATTATTTATTATACGCAACAAAATAGTAAATATTTGATTTTATGTAGTTCATTAGACGTGCGGTCTAAATCCAAGACTGCTAGACTGTGGATCTGAGGACATGTATTCAAAACAACATGCGTTGATCACAAGCCTTGCAAAATCTCTACAAGATTGAATTTGAGAATTAAATGTCTAGTGTCGAAAAGAAAACCACGCTTTATAGATATGTTTCTTAGAAGAACCAAAGAGGAGAACAAAAAAGTAGCACAATGATATGTCTTTGTCTCGACAAAATCGGGGACGGTTTTTTAGTCATTGATTTTATCCATGTTATGAGAGAGCAATACAATTCATTCCTCTTTCTTTTTTCTAGCCCATCACGGCCGAGACGTTTAACACGGAATCCGGACGGTACGACCAAACCGGGACGAATGGTCAGCTAAGTCTACATTGACTCAAGACTTGTCTATCAGTTAATGCAGTACATTAAAAAGGCACTGAAGTAGATATTCATAGCTGTTCAGTTACTGTCTACATAAACCGACGAAAAAACTTGACAATAAGTTCTATAATTTTAAAAAGAAGAATGCCACTAAAAAATAATAATATCTATATAAATAAAGAGAGCAATAATTAAAAACGTACTACTTATGAGCCAGAGGTTGTTGCATATTTATAGGCTACTGAATATTAAGAGCTTTCGACTTTAGATCTGATAATCTATTAATAGCAGTAAGAATCAAACTTGTTTAACAATATTTAATATTACTAAATTAGATTATCTGAAGATGTGTTGCCTGATACGTACATTAAATAGAAGCGGATAAGGTCTGATACAAATCATAGAGCCTGAAGATACCAAAGTCATTAAAGTGGCAGCTCACGAAGTATTTGGAGCAGTAAGTGCAGTGGCGGAACCGACAGTACGCATTCTACCACACCAAGAACCATAAGCTCGAAGTATCACACCAAGAATCGAAGAGAAATATCAGCATATAAAGTACCAAAAGAAGTTGTTATATTTCCTGCAATAGTACTTCTAATGTTTTCTAATGAGCCACAATGCGACTGATCGGTTCAAAATGATGATCGGCACTAAATGATGTTAAAGTAGATAGGTTAATTTCAGATTAAAATTTAAGTCATCTAATTTTTTATCCTAACCTCCTCTACTGTCAAGGTTAGATACATAATAGAGAAAGAGGATTGAATACTGGCAGTAAAGAGTTCTATGAATTTTCTTAAACAATTAAAGAAACCAAATTTTATTAAAAGTTACTTAAGTTCCAATTTTATGGACATTAAGATAAAATAATTTTTGCCTTTATAGATTGACGCTTCCCACAAAACTTTATGCAGCGGTTGAGGGCGCAACAGGTGCAACGGATGCAGATTCAGATGCCACAGACGAAGATACAGATGCAGCAGATGAAGATACAGGTGCAACAGATGAAGATACAGGTGCAGCAGACGAAGATTCAGGTGCAGCAGAC